AGAAGAAAAATAAAAATTAAAAAAAAAGAACAAAAGCCAAACACAAGCTCATTGTAGCTCAGTTCCAATAGGAAGTGGCTTAGTTTACAAATGCTAAAAGCATCGCAAAGTACATCCTGCGGTTCAGGCTGATTTGTGGGTCAGAGGCTTATTGATAGCTCTTGGCAGCAAGATCTGACTTACTGCTTATGAGGGAAGACTGAAAGTGGCCAAATTTAATGTAGTTATTTACTCCTCTAAGAAAAACAAGCAGCTTCACTCTGTCAGCCTCTTGTAACCCTCCAGCCACCCACTGCCTGGCAGACAAACGCTTCTAATATTTTATGCTTTTTCAAACAAAATAAAAATGTACATCTCAGGGCAGCATGTGACTGCGAAGAGGCCCTAAATCCAAAGCCCTGTCTGACAAGTAAAAGGTGACAAAAGCATTTGACAAAGACGAAAATCCCTGCCACTCTCCGGTACACAAATCAATCCCAAAACTCATCCTCCTTCCATAGCTCCTCCCTGCAAACAGCTAATGGCATTGGCTCACTTACACAAAGAGGGAAGGACAAACAAGGGAAAACAATCGTGGCATAAAAGCAAACAATTAGGAAGCAATTAAGACCGGACATCACTGCGATGTAGTAAACACAACTTTCACACTGAACAATGCCTTTCTTCCTAAGCTAGTTTTTCCATTCCAAACGAATGTTTCTATCTGATAACGAGCTATCTAACAACATTTAGAAGCGACAATCACTCACCTCACCTACTACATGTTCCCAAAACACAGCAGCTGGGGAAAACGTTGTTTTTCCAAGTGTCAGGCCAAGCGCAGACATCTCACAGCCCGAACTGGTCTGCACAGCTCTGTGACTCCGAGGCAGACTCATTCTTGCAGAAATAAAAGCCAGGCAGCAGCTTCCTTGCTGTCTACCTCCGACATCACTGATAAGGCAGCAGCACTCCATTATGTGACACCCTAAACCCCACGTTTTACTTCGCTCTAAGTTGATTGTCACAGCTGATTCCCTTTAAACCCCACTGCTACAGAATACTTCTGCTTTCCTCAAAGCTCAAAATTACTGTTACCAAGGCTTAAAAAAATATTATTTGGGAAGCTGGCAATAGCTTCAGAGTTGTCTCTCCAATTTACTTGTGGGAAAACTCGAGAGACTTTTCAATCTTGGTACTTAAAAAAACAAGACAAGACAGGAACTGGACACAGCACTAATGGTAGCAGTCAAGCAGCTGATTTTATTTTAACACACAGCTGTGACAAGAGCTTCTGCCCTGATCTCCCAGTAGCTTTACACTCCTCAAGCTCAAACAGAAGGAAACATATACATTGAAACACAGGGGGGGAAATACCTGGATGTCCCCTGTATTTCCCATTTTCTAACAGTCTGGAAATGCCTACCTGCTGATTTTTCCATGACCAAATTCCAGTTTAGGAGTGCCTACTGGTCCTCTGGGCGAGTCCTCGTTCAGGAGGAGATAAATACATCTCCAAAAGCATGGAAGGAGCACTCACAAAGCACTCAGCTGCTACACTGCCTGCCTTGGACAAGGAGGGGCCATCTGACACCTCGGGAAGCTGAGGAAAAAATAAAAGCAAACAGCCCTGATGTCCTCCAAGAGCAGGAGCAGCCTGAGGAATTGGGAAGGCCACACTGCTTGTCTATCTCAAAACAAATCCATCAGCTCTGATTTTGGTACACATCTGCAAGAGAACTCATGGAAAAAAAAGGTAATGCCTTGCTACACCTTCTGCAGATATATTTACACACAAAGTGTTATTTCCATTTTAAAAAATTATTTAAAAAAACCAAAAAAAAACATAACAACAAACCATGTGGAGCATCAGAAGCAGCTGCCAGGCTGCACTGTGCTGTAGAACAAGGCAGTGAAGGAAGAGCACATCTTGCCCCAGTTTGGTTTAAAAGTTAACTTGGCCTTCATTCACCAAAAAACATATCCCCAACAACAGCCACTCACCCTCACTCACCTCCAGCAGCTCCTAGTCCTTCCAAGACCGATTAGGCAACAACTACTTAATCTCTTTTTTAAAAAACCCTGAGCAGGAAACTTCAGAGAGGGATTCACTAACCCAAAGATAGGATTCCATGGGGTTTTTTTAAAGAAAAGACAATTTCAGAACTTCAATAATAAATCTGAATATTTTCCTTTTATAAATAAATGGTTTTCATCTAGCTTCCTTTTTTATGTAAGTCTTGCCAGCAGAGGATAGCACAAGCATGTTACCATATGGCACGCCCACCAGAACTATCTTTAATTTTTTTTCCTTGGAGATGTAAGCTAAAGTACCTGCAACTATGTTGCAATTTCCTTTTAGAGAGAACTTACCAAGCAGTGTTTTTTTGGAACTGGAGATATTTTTCTAGTCCAATTCCCATTTTTAAATAGTTTTTAAAGACTTGGGATAACTTATTCAACTGTTGGAGAGGTTTACAAAGTCTTTTCAGAAAGGAAGAAACAGATCAGAAAGAGAAAACCGCAGCTCTGAAAATAACAATTGCTGTCAAACCCCAGTTGTATAAATTCAGTGAATCGCCTCACAAGACAGTCTTTTTATAGTGTTCCCCATAAGCAGAGAAGACAATGGTTCCCCTTGATTTTATTTCCCCCCACCATGTAGCTTTATGTATCAGCGGCCCTAGCAACAGGGAAGAATAGCCACGGATTTGTCAGCAGACAAGGGGGGCCCCACGCGTTATCCGAGCACAATCCCCCTGTTCTCTGACAGCAGGGAAGCCTGCAGGAGAGCACAGCTTTTGGCACCGTGCTGGGTGTCAGAATGACAAGCTGCAGCCCGGTGCCTGACGATAAACCTGCACCACAGGTTCGCTGCCACACAGGAAACCTTGCCGCTGCTGCACAAGGACAATCCAATCCTCACGGCAGCCCCAAACTATGAGTCTGCCCACTGAAGGACAGCAGTGTCACCGTGGCTGGGAACAAACGCCGCTGGCACCTCCACATCAGTGACAAACGGGTGAAAAAGTACTGTGAAAGACTGTGTTGCAAGTATCATGCAAAGGTGGGGTGGGGGGGAGGCAAAATGCTAGCTAGCATTATTAATGCACCTGCAGACATCCACACGCTATCTTGGAATAACTCTTATCAAGCCAAAACTCAAGTCTGACAAAAGGTCATGCTAAATTTCTGGATCCCCCCCCCTGCAAAAAAAAGCCAACCAACCAACCAAAAAAACCCACCAAAACTCCGTGTCAGCATCACAGAAAGTTCCCCTGGTCACCTGGAGGCCTAGCAGGCATATTTCCCACCTTTTTTTTTTTTTTAACCCACTTCTAGATTGCAGGTGAGCAAATTAGGTGCCATCTACAGCACTCTGCCAACAATAGCTGAGGCAGCTTTGCCATGCATTAACTCCAGTCTCCGTTTCTGTATTTCATCCAGAAGGATCACTTGGAACAATGGAGATGGGGGTAAAGGTTTGCTATCCTAGGTTTCTGAAAAAAAAAAGAAACAAGCATCTCACTGTTGCCTGTGACCGAGCATGGAGGGTTTCATGCTTTTCCATTCCCAGTTAGCCAAATGCCACGGAGAAGGAGGCTCTCTAATTTGCAAACCAGACTACCAAGACACTCGAAATCCTGTCCCCCCTTCTCCATCCACCGTGGCAGCTGAGAATTACGAAGGAGAGGGACAGCTGGGCTCCTCATTAGGAGCACCGCGCCTCCACCCACGGACAATCATCTGCACCCACCTCCCGTCGGTGCCTTTTGGAATCCCTCCGGGAGCACGGAGCACGACAGGCCAGTGGGGATGGGTACGGCAGAGTTAAAAGATAAACGCAAGGGAGGAATCGAGGAAGAAACCAGCGCCAGGGTTATTTGTCTCCATGAGAACACAACTTACTAGAACACTCCAGCTCAGAGATAACTCTTCTCTAAGCCCAGGCCACGTTTACATCTGCTGGTTATCAATGTAAGCCTCTAACAGCGGCCAGATATTCCGGCAGCAGTCCCACGGAACCCGGAGTGTGCGGGAACACTCAGCGGGGACAAGGCCCTAATGGAGCTTGCCTCTTCCAGGGTGCCTTTTTCAGCTGCCTTGGTCGCCCTTCTTTCCCTAGAGCGCATCTTCGCCTTAATTAATAGGTCACTGAACCGGTTTATGTTAATTGTCACAAGTACCTCGTCTTTGTTTCCAAGGGGAGGGACCAAAGTTCATTCGGTTCTTGCCCACGAAGCAAAATTTCAAGAAGTGTGCCTCTGCCCGCACCTGAATCGCCACCGACTCCCGAGAGAGCTCTTTCCTGCCGCAGCACAGCCCGGCCAGGTCCTTAGCGGGGCTCAGCCCCACCCGCCCCATCACTTGCACCGGGGCTCGCTTCCGCACGCCAGCTCCCGACCCAGCTGCGCCACACAACGCTACGGCACCGAGCTCTGCCCGCCAGAAACGAGAAACACGCATGAAAATATCATAAAACCTCGGGGGTCGGGTGGCTGTTTGACCCCGACCCCGCTCTCGCCTACCCAGCGACACCCCTCCGCCGGGCAGCACGGAGCCCACCGGGCAGGTCCCCGGGGCCGGTGATCCTTGGCTGTTTCCAAACTCGTATCCGTAAGGGGAAGCCGCACGGGAAGGGGAAGCCCGGCTCGCTCTCTCGCTCGCCCGCCCTCCAAACGCCCTCACGGCGCGGCGGCGGCCCCGCCGCTCCCTGCCGGCGGAGGGGGGCGGCTGCTCCTGGGGCCGCCGGGGGTCCGGGGCACAAAGGGAGAGAGCGGGGAGCGGGCGGAGCGGCCGCCAGGCCGGCGGGGAGCGGCGGGCGGCGAGCGACCGAGAGGGCGGCGGCCGCGGCCGCTCGGTGGGCTGTGCTGCCCTGCCCTGCCCGACGGGACGGCGCAGAGCAAGAGGAGAAGACCCCCCCCACACCCCGCGGGTACTCACAACAAGAAGCTCATGGCGATGGCGGAAGAGCGGGACCGGCGGCTGCCTGGGCTCGGCGCGGCGCGGCTCGGCTCCCAATGGCAGCAGCGGCGGCGGAGGGCGGGCGGGTGCGGAGTGAGCGCCGCGGGGCGGGGACACGGCCCGCCCGGCCGCCATCGCCCCCAGCGGCCCCCGCGCCGCCGCCGCCTCCTCCCTCACGGCTGCGGGGCTCCGGCACGGCCGCGCTCCTCTCGGGGCTGTGGGGGTCTCCTTCAGAGAACCCTTTCGTGTCCCCGGGGACGGACGTCCCCTCACAGCCATCCCCTCACAGCCATCCCCTCACAGCCATCGCGCCGCGTCGGCCCCTTAGAGAGGCCCGTGTGAGTGCCCGTGGAAACGGGCACCCCCTGCCCCTCCGGAGCCCCCGTCTCCCCTCAGGACAAAGCGGGCCTGGTACCAGCCCACACGTCACCAAAAGGTATTAACGGCGTTGCTGCCCTCCTCATCAAACCTTTTTTAACGAAACGTGACAAAAGGGATTCCAGTATTTCTTAATACTTGATTTGTTAGCAATTTCTAACTGGGCTGGTGAGGGCAAGCGGTGAGCAAAGGCAGGGGCACCCCTCAGGTTACACTATGGGCGGCTGAGGTAAAAAAAAAAATCAAACTTCTGAGGTAAAAAACGTGCAGTTTTTTAAAGAAACCCTCGGCAGCCAGATATAGTCACCTCCCAGTGCTCTTTATGGTAGAAATTGCAATCCCAGAGTATAATTTTCATGTAGAAACCTGGCTCTGTTTAGGTCAGTAAGAAGCCAGATTCTGGTAACAGCGCAGGACAGGCAGGATGAGCTCCAGGGATTTCCTTGTGCCCCAAGGGGATTCGGCCATCCCAAAAACCTCACACTGCTGCAGGCAGGCCAGAAAAAAACCTGTTGACTTTCAGATTGATCAGGAAAAATCAGCACATCGAAACAGGCTACAGTCCCACACAACACTAACTTTCCATCCAGCACGTCAGGGGTTTCAGCTCTATGGCCTTAGGTGGCCACACTGACAGTCATCTGCTTCCCTCACGTTTTTAAATGCTGAAACTGCATTTTCCACTCTCTGTCCTTCACACTAAGTCAAAATGCCAGGTCAGTGCATTTCTAAGTAAATTAAAATTACACTACTGTTTTTAGGACACCTTTAAAATGCAGTCTTTTACTGGGCAGCAATGGTGTAATTAAAAAGCATTTCACGACGTTTGCAATTCTCCTTGTGGCTGTTCTAGCCAAAGCGTTGAATGGGTCTGGGAGCACTCTGCCACAGATGCTGTCAGACTAAGCTGGCCACGTAAATCAAACAGAAATACATCACTGATCTTTCTGGCACATTGCTGTCGGGACACGAATAACCTCCGTTCCCCGTTTCCACCCATACACTTCCTCTTACCCACGGAGTGTTTTATTTTTTAGTGGCAAGTTAAAATTAAACGTCGGTTGCTGCAGTAGGAGATACTCGGCCAGGAGAGAGGCTTATGTAACGTGCAGGCTTTATGTCTCACATTAATATTGGGCTGGTGGGGATGGCTGAGGGTCACATGAAGGGCTCTCCTCTGCCGCCGGCCCGAGGGGCTGGCAGGGAGCTGCAGCCTTACGTAAGGTAAGGGGGAGGCACTGCTGTGGCCTCGCCTCTGTCATCTCCATTTACCCAGCGCGTTGCAGAGCCTCAAGAATTCCTCTGGAAGGGCCCTCGGGCTGGCAAAGTGCTTCGGTCCCAGGCTGAAGTTCTCAGCTTTTCAGCACAGCTCGGTAAACACGGAGCATTCCAGCTGAAAGTGGCATTAAAAAAATGAGATTGCAAAACCGAGCATGTATATAGGATCGGTAATAAAAAAAAAAAAAAAAAGGGAAGTAACATTTTGTTTTAAAAAATAACACAGCATACGAATAATTTTGGGAAATACTACAAGAGAACAGAAGGTCAATTTTCCTTGATAGCAGATTACACAGAGGGATGAGGAATGTTTCCCAGTATAAGCACTTGTCTTAGCATCACATCCACTGATTTTCTGATCATCATTTTTAGTCTGATCAGACTAAAGAATAGCTGGTATCGATTGTTCTTAACAACAACCTGTTTAAGAAAAAAGTCATTCTGCCAGGTAGATAAATTCTCCAAGGCAGATAAACCCTTGGTCCACAGCAGAATGGAGGCATTTCCTGAGATTTGCTGTTTTTACAGAGGCAGATTCCCTCTCCTAAGGCGACTTCATTCCACAGCAGTTCTGTCGAGTGAATAAATGCAAACAAACTCTCTTGTCCTAGGATGACCTTTGTATTCTCCCATAGGTGCAGAGACTCTGCTCTGACACGTAACTAAGGAAGCTCTGAGATTCCATGGAAACTTCAGTGCCAGCAGTTGCCCAACAACACGGTGCCCTCTGAAGGTAACTCTCACAAACCTGACAAGCTGCCAGACAAGCAGCAGTGGTGTTTTTTTCTGTACTTGGGAAGCAAGCAAATCAAAGCTAAAATGGGTGGAAGATGTGCATCCCTTCACAAGACTTCCTTGCAGCCTGCTTGGGTCACAGGAGGAGAATGCCCCTAACATTCCCTCAGTCCCTAAGATTTAGGGATCTGCTTATTCAGTTAAACTGAAAGCACAAAAGCCAATCTAGATACAGATAAGAGCTCAAGATGAATTCCTATGGTTATCTAAATTTTTTTTCTTCTATAACATTTGCCTGCTTATTTAAAGAAGGTTTTGAAGAGAAACCTGGCAAGTAGGCCACGAAAGACTGGAATGTGAACCACTTGGGCACTAAGGTCAACATTCCTTTGAAAATGTGCATAATACACGATTTACCTTAAAAACCCAGAAGGGTTAAGAGTGCTGTTGCCAAGAGGCTGTGCCATTCTCAGGGTTATAGTCTGTCACGTGAAAGGTTGTTACAAGGAACAGTTTACAAAAGCATCAGCCAGCAGCAAGAGGGTGGCATAAAGTAGCTTGTTCACATTTTCAAAATGGTGATAAGAAACATTCAAGGCTTCTGATAAATGAGTGTGTTGGCAGCACAGCAAGATGAAAGACTTGTGCTGGAAAACCCAAGATTGTATTTTGGGTCTGACAGTCTGCAGCTGAAACTGCAACTCTTACTTGGCGACCCCCAGGCTACAGCTGTAGGGTGCTGGAGAAGAGAGGAGTATGCTGGCTGTCATGGCTCTCCTGATCTTCCTGATCAAGCTGGAGTCCTGCTGGACCTGGCCCATCCTCCTCCTGGATCTGAGCCTCGACATTCCCTTGCTGGGTTCCTCCACTGTTGGGGTTTGGGATTCCAGCTTGCCTTTTCCTACTCATTTTGCTTCATCCTAAAAAAATTTTCTGGGTTCAGCACGACTTACCTTTCCCAATGTGCAATTAGGACATGCTGGTGCCAGCTCTTTCCCCCTTATCCCTCTTGGATGCAGCAATGATAGCAGGACTGTCTTCCCAGACCACCTGGAGAGATCACCTGTTGAGATCTTCAAGCAGGGATGGGAGTGAGGTGCAAAAAGTCATCTCTCCTGGAAAATCAGTCTCCAGGGAAGGGCTGTAAAAGGCTTGTCAGTGATGAAGCCCAACCTACAACTTTGTATTGGAAGAATCCATCTGTGCCTTGGGCTCATCCCCACATAATGGGGAGCAGGGGAGGGGCAGATTCCTCCCCTCTGCCCTGCTCAGGTGAGATCCCACCTGGAATGCTGCATCCAGCCCTGAGGTCCTCAGCACTGAAAGGACATGGACCTGTTGGAGCAAGTCCAGAAGAGGCCACCAAGGTTATTAGAGGGAGGGAGCACTTCTGCTGTGAGAAGCTAGGAGAATTAGGATATTTTCAGCCTGGAAAAGAAGAGCTTCAGGGTGGCCCAGTGTCTGAAGGGAGACTGCAAGAAAGATGGGAGACTACTTATATAGGGGCCTGGAGTGACAGGACAAGGGGAAATGGCTTCACACTGACAGAAGGCAGGGTTAGAGGGGATATTGGAAAGAAATCCTTCCCTGTGAGGCCCTGGCACAGGTTGTCCAGGAAAACTGTGGCTGCCCTATCCCTGGAAGTGTTCATGTCCAGGATGGACGTGGCCTGGAGCAACCTATCTAGTGGTACTCGACCCTGCCCATGGCAGGGGGTGGAGCGGGATGATCTTTAAGTTCCGTTCCAAGCCAGGCCATTCTAAGCCAAGCTCTGTGACAGGAAAAGGCCGCGGTGACAGCCGCAAACACCCCCGGTGCCGGGGGGCGGCAGCACGGGCAGAGCGGCGGGCAGAGCAGCGGGCAGCCCCCAGCCCCGCGGGCAGCGGCGGTGCCCGGGAAGCGCTTCCCGTGCAGCGCCTGCCGGGAAGGAAGGAAGGAAGGACGGTCGTAGGGGCGGAGCCGCGATCCCCGGCATGGCCGTGGTCGCCGCCGCCCGCCGCGCTCTGTCCGCGCTGCTGCTGGGCCGGGGCCCGGCGCTGCCGCCCGCGCTGCGCCTGCCCCGGCCCGCCCCGGCCCCGGTCCCGGTGCTGGCCCCGCTCCCCGCTGCCCTCCGCGCGTACAGCCAGGTACGGCCGCGCGGAAATGGCGGGCACCGACCCCCGTGGGGAACCGCGGCCTCCCGCTTCTCACCCGGGGCTTTTCTCGTGTGTCCGCGCCAGGTCACAGATGCTCCGTCCCACGAAGGTCGTCTCGCAGCGCAGGAGCCCGCGTCACCCAAGGCGGAGAGCGACACTGTTTACCTCGTCAGGGCGCAGGGATTCCCGTTCTCGTGCACCGAGGAAGATGTCCTTACCTTCTTTGATAGTATGGGTGTTCATTTTCCTGCGTAACTGTTCTGCATGCTGCATGCCCATTAGTTCATGACTGCTTAACAGAAGGAAAATTTAGAGACCGTTAGACAGAGAAAGATGAAGTCTTATTACTGTTGCAAAATTATTTGCAATTGACTCATAAAGGGAATAATCAACATCTAGACTGTTGGTCACTGACTAGAAGCTCATCCTTATGGTCTATTAAATTTAATTGGACAGGTCTTTCCCTTCTTGATCAGTGTCTCCAGAGCAAAGGCAATCCAATTCAAAGCGATGGTCTTGGTCTTACAGGCCATTATAGCTGGCCCAAACTTCTCTCTTTTTAAGAAACTGGAGGTTTTTACTAATTAGTTCAAACTGCAGTGTTGTTTTGTGATCCTAATACACAGTTTTTACATACCTTTGTACGGCTGATCCTCCCTACTGGCATATGGTGCTGCATCCTCCCAGGGGCCAGATGCAAGTTTTTAAATTACTCGTTAGTAAATTACTCGCTACCTGCCAAACTAAAGCAAGTCAGTGTGACGTTAGAGTGTATGTTAGAAATGCAAGTGTTCTGCAGTGCTGAGAGGATGAGCTCAGAGCCCTCCAGTCAGGACATAGAGATCCCTGTATCTGATGCTGTCCTGTATGTTCCTGTGTTGTGTGTCCCTTGGTTTCCAGGCTGTAGAATTCGAAACGGTGAGAACGGGATACACTTCCTCTTAAACAGGGATGGGAGGCGCAGGGGGGATGCCTTGATCGAGCTGGAGTCCAAAGCAGATGTGCAGAGAGCCCTGGAAAAGCACCTGAGGTACATGGGCCCACGCTATGTGAAAGGTGAGTTTGGAGCAGCAGGAGTTAACCTTGCAGTGAAACTCCCCGGGGAATGAGAGCTCCATGGGGTGGAGCTGAGCAGCAGATCAGCCATCCCTGGGCCAAAATGTCCTAGGCTGGCCAGGGAAAGCAGAGGGGCAGGACCACAGAGCATGGGCTGGGGGAGGAAAAGGGATGGAGCTTTGCAGGGGGCAAAAGCTGCCTTAGGAGGGTGCCTGCAGAGCGCTGCCTTCCAGTGCCCTGTGGGAAAACGCTCTGTGGCCCCACTCCTTGCAGTTTTTGAGGTCCACGACAGCGACGTGGAGGGCTTGCTGCAGAGCCTGCGGGACGAGTCGCAGGCCATGAGCGACGGAGTTGTGCTGCTCCGAGGCCTCCCCTTCACCTCCACCGAGGAGGACATTGCAGATTTCTTCTCAGGTAACTCAGCCTGGGCCATGCCCTTCTTTTACCAAGCATTCTCTTCCTTAAGTTGATGCTGTTGTTCCTCAAGGGATGAGGCAAAGCACTCAAAACACCTTAAACACCACAAGGAGCTGCTGTTCCCCAGAAGTCACACAGGCTTTCTGAGCACCCTGCAGAGTTTCCCTGCCCCTCTGATCCAGGTCTAACCCAGGATCAATACTTCCAGCACTCTGATTTTGAGGCCAGGGGAAGCAAAGGAAGGGGTCCAGATGTTGTGATCTACAGTTGGATTGCTACCAGTGGATAATTTGGCAAACTTGAGAAGGAAAAAGGATTTGAGTGATTGTTACAGCCTGGATGAATGCAATGTGGGTGCTCCCAGCTGTGACATCAGGATGAGTAGGTCACATATGCCACTTGAATCCTTGTCCCATGCTCAGTGCTGGAGCAGTCTGGGTCTTGGCTCCCCAGGATGACATTTTACAGCACAAAAAGTGAAATTCACTGAATCTGACTTGAGTTTTAAAAAATACAGAAAAAAATACCACAATAAGAGAAAATTTCAGGAACATTTGTGCTGTGGATCTATTGGTTGTCCAGAAGCTGGATTCACTTACTTGAAGCCTCAAATTGATTCAATTTTTAATTAAGTCTTCTGTTAAAACTGCCTGAAAGCAAACAATTGGAGTTTAAAAAAGCCACTTAGGCCAGCATGAGCAGTTGTTTCAGAACTATTTAGCTGCCCAATTAGCTTGTCAAAAACCAGAAAAAATAAGGGGAAAAAAAAGGGTTTTCTGAGCTATAGCAGAAGTTTTTGCCACAGTAAATGCGTTTTTCTCCCCTGCCATCTGTAGGTTTGAAAATAACAGACATAGCTTTCATTTACCGGGGAGACAGAAGAACAGGAGAAGCTTTCGTGCAGTTTGCCACTCCAGAAATGGCGGCTAAGGCCCTGCTACGGCACAGGGAATATATGGGAAGTAGGTAGGTACTTCATTAGGTAATTCATTCTCCTCCCAGTGAAAAGGGATGACAGAGTGGGGAACTGGATAGACAAACCAAAGCATAAGGCCACCTTTTCCCAGAGCCATAATATCATTTAGGTTAGAAAAGGCCTTTAAGACTGTTGTGTCCAACTATTAAACTAAACACTGCCCAGTCCAGCCCCAAACCCTGTCTGTAAGCACCACATCTACACAGCTTTTAAATGAGCTGTGCTCAGAAAAGAAAACCCAAACAACCAAGGCTGCTTTTCCCTTCTGAGTTTTCTGACTTCAATAAAGATAAAACTTTATCTGCAGCCCACATAATAAAAGAGTTTTCCAAACCTTACTTTTCCTCCTGCACACCAACTTCCTTCTTTTTTTTTCCTTACTTCCTGTTTTCAGACTGCATTTTCTTATGTTTGTCAACCTCCCTGCTCATACTAAAAGCAAACAGCTGTTCTACAAGCAAAATTTGATTGATTGATTAATTAATTAATTGAATTAATTGGACTTGCCTCCTCTTGAGTAGAGCTTAATCCAAATCTACTGTTAATTTTTTTCTGTCAGAACAAGAGCTGACCTGACTCATCCATCTGGCTCACACACCTCCATTTCCATGTGATTAGCCAAGAAATTGAGAGGTTTTCAAAATTGCTTGCAGGTGGCTCCTGTTAATTTTTCCTGGTTTTATCCAGAACTGGCCTTCAGCAGCACCCAGTGCTGAGTGGGGACTCAGGGGGGCTGAGCTGCCAGCACTGTCAGCCTGTACAGAGGGTTACTTCCCTTACTCTGGCTGCTCCCTTCGGGAGGGGTGGAAGGCCCCCTCCCTTGGATGTCCATATTTCCTTTTCATCCCACTGTTCCTTCAGTGCTCTGGAAATTGCCTGATTTAACACTGCTGGTGAAATCCCATCAATTTCATAGGCATATGGAGAACCTTAGGACTCCGCTGAAGAATTTCCTGTGACCCTGGGCATCTTGTGGGTCTTTCTGTTCTGGGGCTAGGTCGGGTGTTAGATTTGGGGTTTGTAGAAATCAGTGCAGTTTGCAGAAGTGCAGCGAGGGAAAAGCAGCCTCAAAGAGAGCTGTGCCAGTGAAATGAGTTAATTCTGCAGCGCCTCAGCAGAGCTCTCACCCCCAGTACCTGAGCAGAGCCAAGGCAGGACATACCTGGAAGGTACTTTCTCCAAGCCCTGAGTGTGCCGTGTGCTCTCTCCCTTTGGGCTCCAGGTACATAGAAGTGTACGTGAGCAGAAAGCACCAGATGCAAAGGCACATGCCCTACAGCAAGCAGCTGACGGCCTATTCCAGGGCGAGAAGAGAGTATGAATCCATCTCTGAAGACAGGGGCTGGAGAGACACTGGAGGCTCCCATGCCGAAGGGGAAATCAGTGAGTCCCTCCCTCTCCTGAGGCCTCACTCAAGGCCCCTTCATGTCACTCAGTGTGCCCACGGCTTTCACATGAGGGAGGGGCACTGCAAGCACTAGTGATGGTTTTTCCCTCCATTCCACAGATTTGAGCAGGGAACGAACAGAAAGCTCCAGGAACGTTTTAGAGTCTGAGAACACCTCATCACCACCACAGCACTTTGTCCACATGAGGGGTTTTCCTTCCCAAGCTAGTGCCCAGGACATAATAAATGTGAGTAACAGGTTGTGGATGGAGTGTGGTTCTGTCATTACCCGTGCAAACCCTCAGTTAATTGTTACAGCTGCAGGGATTGCAGCTTTTAATTAATTAGTGTCTGTTAGTCCTCAGTGCCATGTGGCTCTGAAAAGCTGTGGCCTCGGGCACAATAGGGATGTGCTCCTCTCCATGAATAAGAAAGAATTAAGGCTTGCTGAGATGTCTCAATATCCATCACTAGGCTTGAGGAGCCCTTGAGGATCTAAAATTTCCAAGTAGCTGACTGCACAGAATGAAACTGCACCGGTGTGTACAGAATGTAGGTGCCGTGAAAGGATTTTTGTTCCTGGCAGGAGTTCCCATGCCAGGAGCTCACAGGGGGTGGGAGAGGTGGCTGGGGAGTGCCTCAGCTTCACCCAGTCTTTTGCTGCTCAGGAGCTCAGACCCCTCCATGGGTTGGTGGATTTTGGGAGTAAAAGCATTGAGTTTCTGAGGAATAGGGTTCATTACTGTTGTTTCTTCCTTATCAAACTCTCTTTCCTGCTTTTCAGTTTTTTGCTCCGCTGAGGCCCACGAGGATCTTGGTGGAATATAACTCCCATGGAGATGCCACAGGAGAGGCAGATGTGCACTTCGAGAGCCACGAGGATGCAGTTGCAGCGATGGCCAAGGACGGGTCACAGATGGGTAAGTCAGAAGAAAGAGAGGGGATCCTACAAGCCTGGGACTGAGACCTCAGGGGGTTTGGCACAACTCATCCAGCTGCTGTTGTACACTGTGCAGCGAGATTACTTGAGTGTGGCTTTCCAAGTTGTGATGTGCCATGGGATTTGCAGAAGAAAAAAAAAAATTCCAATGTAACACGTGCAAGTGTCTGACCTCAGCCCACCTCTCTTCCATTGCCCAGAGTGCAATGCCATTGAATTGTTCCTGAACGAACATCCCACGGGACAGGAGAACTGCTAGTGACAGTGGCACAGGCACAGGTTTGGTGAGTACATCCCTCTCTGTCCTTCCTGCTCTCGTAGCAACACGTGCCCCAGGCTCACAACCTGCAATATCCAAGCAGCCCGAAGGGTAAAACGTAGAGGGGCTCAAGGGAACCACCCCCCCAGCCTGGTGTCCAGTCTGGATCCCACAGCCAGATTCCACAGGTGCCAGTTCCACAGCATGAAAAGCTCTGAGGGGGGTTACATTCCCTGGCACGGAGAGCAAACATGGCTAAACATGTCCCAGAGATGTGGCCTCACAGTAATTGGTCCTTCAGATGGGATGGGGTTTGATGTGACCATGAGTGACCATATGGCTTGTGCCATAAATTCTCCTCAGGAAGTGGGGGTGGTGGTTCCTGCTCCCCAACCCCTGGTGCCTGTAGCAGGGAGAGCAGCCCAGCCATCCTGGGTTTGTAATCCAGGCCAGGGAAATGTCCTTGGGGCAGGTTCAGGAGGTGCAGTCCGACCTCTTTCCTGCATCCCTCACTTCCGTGGCAGCTCCCTCCTGTTGGTGCTCGTGCTGGGTGAATTAAACAACCCCACCCCATGGGCCTGTGCTGCAGCCCCACCTGAGCATGTCACACCTGGAGTCTGTGGTATTTTACTATTGCCAAACTGCACTATTTCATTCTAATAGAGGATTAACTGGGAATACAGAAAAAAAAAAAAGGAAAACATCCACACGGAGGGAGTGAATTATTTTTATTTTTCCTCTTCCTCGTTTTTAGGCCAAGCAAACACATTCCGTGGCTATGAGCGTGACGATCAGGTTCAAGTGTCACCACTCAGCGAGGAGGACAAGCTAAGATTAGTTCAGCCTTGTGTAAGAGCTTGTAATAACTGTGATGGGCTGTGGGGAGTTGCACCAGCAGCAGCTCCAGTGGGAATGGCCAGGGCTGCAGGATGGAGCAGTCCTGCGCTCCAGGTGCAACAGGCTGCATTAATAAAACAGCAGGATTATCAGTTAACAGCTGAGTGATCTAAGACCTCACACAGGTGCACACTGTTGCTTTGAATCCTTTCATACCTCAGCCCAAGAGAAATGGGATGGAAAGACCGCTCGGGAGGCAGGATATGAATGATCAAGATTTTTTATTGTGTGGAACAAAATTAACATCAGAAAACCTGTCCCCCCATTCCCAAGGTCCAGGTGTGAGCCCACTCTAGCATCACACAGAGTACCTGAGCACAGAGGGAGCTGGCAGCCACCACAGTGCTGTGCTCTGGAGGGGCTCAGCCACCTCCCTGCTCCATGGAGTTTAATCCTCTATTTCCAGTTTAATGCTCCCTTTGCATTGCCTGGGTTTTATTTTCTTCTCTGGGGATGAGTCACACTGGGGTTGGGTCCAGGATTTCACACTGTTGGATGTGTACAGTAAGTACCCAAAACTATTAACACGAAATTTTGTGTTTTCTCCATCCACCTCCCATGTCTCACTACTTCAGAGAACTCGGGAATTCACCTGAACTCCAGGCTTTTGGTATTTCAACACTGTTTACAACTCCTGCCATACTTTAGGGGATACCAGCAAGGAAATGGGTCAGGAAGCTGCCATGGGGGCCAAAAGAGCAGAGAAAAATAGAGGTTGGGTGGCTGAACATGCCACGTCCTGGAAGGATCTAGGAGAGACAAATTGGTGGTACAAAGCAGTACCAGCAGTGTCAGTACCTCGGCTCCAAAGGGTTTTTCATGTGCTTCCAGCCAATCTAGTGACTAAAAAATCCCCTCTGAGGCATTAACCACTATCCCCTCACAACATCTGTACAAACCCCAGTGCATTTGTCATGCCAGTGCATCCCTTTTCTATAAACTATGGGACATTCTGTGGTCTCAGAGACTGGAGGAGGTGCCAGGAGGAAAAGGAGTAAACACTCCTGTGACATGAGAAAGCCACCCCCACTTTTTGGACTAGCGAAATTCCTTGAGGGACCAGTAACAAAGAATGATGAAACCTCTCTGAACTGTATGTGCAATTAAAATTTCTATCAGGTGAAAAGTGTTCCCACTTAGTTTTGAACCAACAAAAAGTGAAACACCAGGTTTATTGTAACATTTCCATGTGTGCAAGGTGGAGAGGTGGGTCCAAGTGGCCCTAAACCTCTGACAAGGACTTGGCCCATCCCCTAAAGCTCAGAGGGGAACAGACCATTCACAGCTTGGTTTGGGTGTCCCTGTGCAGGCTAAGCCCCTGGTCAGAGCCCTGAGCCAGGGAAATGCAGGGAGGGCGTGTTCACTAGTGGCCCACCTGCCCTGCTCACACCATCGCCTGAGGTTCCCAGGATGAGCCAGTCTGTCCAGGGCAAACGGAAAAGGGGAAATGGGATTTCAAGTGCAGCCAGGTGTGAGGAATACCAACGCTCCAGTTGGATTTCGGGGAGCCGTTGCTCAGCAGCAGCAGCACACACCCACGCCACGTGCGTGAGGGTGAGAACACTCCTGACTTCCACATGTGGACAACAGCTCTGGTTTGGGCAGGGGCTCCCAGAGTCCTGAGACTGCTCAGGCACACCTTGGGGCTGCCCCATGTGACAGTCCCAATGGAATTCTCCACAGCACAGGCTGATTTAAGGGCTCAGACTGTTCTAGTAACAGGAGATTCTAAACACCAAGAAGCTGCTTCCCATCCGACCTCCAAAGCACACAGGCGTCTTCAGATCCCCCTGAGCAACTCCAGAAACACCATCAGCTACAGCCGCTGTTTTGTCACCTCTGTGCCACCCGCTCCCTACAAGGGGCTGCTGGAATACTGCTGGATGAGCCGCTGGTGGCAGGGGTTGCAGACACGCTCGGGGTTGATGCTGGACGGAAGGGGCAGCTCGTGCACCGAGCAGGCTTCACAGAAGGTGCCCCCACAGTTCTTGCAGATGTTCTGGAATGCAGGAAAAGCACAGAGCAGTCAAGGAGAGGTTCAGGTCTTGGCAGATAACTCAGGGAAGGACAAACACTGAGCTAAAAAGGGAAGAAGCTGACAAGCGGGAGAAAAACAAAACGACTGAACAGGGCAGAGCAGGGAACCATCACCCCATGAGCATTTAACAAAGTTTTGTTAAGGGCAGAGGAGCCTGCAAAGGCTCATTTCTAGGAATAGTCACCAGCAGGAATCTGTGATTGCACAACAAAAAGCAGAGGGAACTCGCAGTAACCAGGTGTGGGAGATGGCAGTTCAAGCCCAGGACTTACCTTTCTTTGGCTCCGGCTGTCCTCCTCCTGGCAGAGCTGGCAGATCTCGGCATGTCCAGGCCCCGACAGCTGCTCCTAAAGCCCAAGACAAAGCCAAGACATTCTGCTTTACATGGCTCCTGTGGCAGAGCTCAGCAGCAACACGGGGGAACTAAACATGGTTTTCACTAGGAACAAGCTGGCAGCAGCAGAAATTCCCAGTGCACAAGACAGCACAAGGCACCCCAGTAGCTCACTGGGAGTCTGGCTGTGCTTTGCCAGGAGCATGAAGGAGAAGGAGCAGATGATTTACAGGAAAAGAGCAAAAAAGGAGAATCACCCACCTGCTCTTCCTGCATGCTGCTGGGGGACCTACAAGGGAACAACAGCGTCACTTCGAGCTGGCCTTTCCTCACCAGAGCCTTTAAATACAACATCTGTGCAATCAGGGAATTCCCTCATCCCGTTTTTAAAACCCTCCCCAGATTTTTGAGTAGCACTCCTGGTTCAATGGGAAGACCAGAACTAAAAATTGCAAAATGCCCTCAGGAGAGCAGAAGAGAGGAAGCATGAATACAGAAAAGACTGTGCTAGAACAGAACAGCTTGGCTTTAAGCACAGGCCTTCAGGTTTAATCCCTACCCCTGCTGTGAAACACAGCAATAAAGCACCACAAGGCCCGTAAACCATCAACCTGACCCTCACTTGCTTAAACACTCCAGGTGAAACAGGGTTTGTAAAAACCATCTCAGGCCTGCAAGGTTTTCAGTATCTGACAAAGCAGATTTGAACAGCTTTATGCTATTTTAAGAGGATATTTTCCTGATTAACTCATTGATTAACTCACTGATTAACTCAGTGGGGAGTGCCTCGAGGGCACAGCAGAGCCCTGACAGTCAGAGCACTTCCAGTGGGCTGTTCCATCCTCGAACCAAAGCCTCAGCACTGAGCTGTGCCCAGGGGCTTTGAAAACACCTTTTAACTCCTAAAACTAGATACTCAAATCCTGCAGCAAGAATCCTCCTCTGCAATAATTCAGCTTGGAAACAAGTGACCTGAACCACAATTTTACACATCTTAAAATCACACTTGGAAGTTCTCTTTCCCTAACACTTTCTCCTTAGGAGGCCCTAACATCCTTCTCCTTTCCCTCACCAAAGATATTTTGGACATGAGTTCCAAAGGTCTTGCACTTGGCTTACCAAGGATTCTTGAGTCAGAAAAAATAGTTAAGAGCAGATTTAGATAGAAAAAATTTCAAAAATAAATAGGAGAGACACAAACAACAGAACCTCTTCCTTCCCTTTGAGAGCTATGGAAAAGCAGCATAGAACTCAAAGGGCATGAGGTTGGAAATCCTTCTTAGAAAGGGAAGTTGGACTATTCCAAACTCCCTGTTGGTACAGAAATTGGAGAAGGGAAAGCAGGACTTGAGAAAGGAGAGGCAGAGATGAGATGTGTTTCCTTCCTTACCTGTGTGGCAGGACACTGTTCTCTCTCAGCGACTGCTTCAGTTGAGCATTTCCTTCCTGGACTTTGAGCTTCCCATCCTGCCAAAAAGAAACACTCACCCATCAGCTGCATTAGAGGAGAAGTCCAGTTTCACTCCTGCCACACTGCAAGGGGAGAACTGGCACTGCTAGTCTGGCATACTGCTCTGCCCCTCCTTGGCACCGAGGGTGATCTGGGTCCCAGTTTCCCCTGGGAGCAGCTCTCAGTGCCTCTCAGAGGTGGGCAGGGGTCCCATGGCCTCCTGCTACCAAAACACCACAGCCACCAGTTCTTATTTGCACAGCAGAGGCTGAGAATGAAGATGGACTGAAGAGGTTTTGTAAAAGCTGACCAGAGACAAACTTTCCCATCCAGCAACAGAAAGAATCCTCTTCTCCTCAGCTGAGATGTGGTCACAGCTGAGCCACGAGGCCTAAAGCACTTGACTGAAGTTGTGTAATACTGGTCAAAAAAGACAAAATGGTCTGCACCATTCAGGCAGACCAGAGAGAAACAAAGAACTGCAGAAGCCATCTCTGTTACTGCACAGTTCTCATTGCAATTCAAACTGCCTGTTCAGAGTGTATAAAAATCTTTGCAAATCTCCTCTGGTTATGGCACATGAACAACAACCATTTACTGCCTGAGAAAGCTCAGTAAAAGCAAACAAGCCAAGGGAAACTGAACCTCAAACCCGAGCCAAAACCCAAGTCACATTACCTGTCTGAGCCAATTCTTTGGGCCTTTTTTGCTTTCTTGGCTGCGCTGGTGACTGTGAGACCATCTGTCTCTTTCCCGCCTTAGCTCCAGTTCTAGGTGGCTCCTGGAATGCCAGGTGGAATTGTGAATAAAGGACGGTTTTGGGACACTTGGCATTGACAACTGATGAGCTGTTTGACCCTTTCTTCACACCCCTAAAACTGCCTCTTGGAACCCAAACTTGTCTCGCAGTGTGTTTAGCCATAATGTGTCAGGATGAAAAATCTGCAAGTCCTTCATCTAATTCTGGCACCACTTAGCATCCAACTGATGCAAAATCAGACCCATTTGCCCATGTCCTTCTAAGCTCACCCATGCACACCCAGGACCTCACACCAACTGCTGACCAAAGCCACTTTGTGCTTGTCAGAGCAGCTTTTTGAAAAAAGAAACAAAAAGCTGGGCCAGGAGGGGAAGAAGGGACAAAAACCTCTGTGCCTCCAGCAATGCTCCCACAGAGTTGATCCCAGTGACCCTGCACAAGCCACAGATGGCTCAAGGCTGCAGGAGACACTCTTCTCTTTTAAGGAAAGAGATTTGTGTGTGTCCCTGACACTGCTGCAGTGATGAGGCTGCAGTGGAAGATGTGATGGCTTTTGACAAGGTCTCTGTTTTGACTTCCAGCAAAACTGAGAGCAGTTTCAACAGGCAAAAATCCATGTCAAAGTACTGTGTGTTAGATAAGACAACCAAAATCAACCATTGCCCTTGCTCCACCACCTGCAGTGTTTGCTCCAGGCAGAGACTTGGCTGCTCAATCCCTGCCCAGGAGTAGCTGTTAATATTAGCTTTGGATTCCCAAGTATCACTGAATCACAGAAGGTTTGAATTGCCAAACACCTTACAGACTATCTTGTTCCATGCTGTGCCATGGGCAGGGACACCTTCCACTGGATCAGACTGCTCAAGCCCTGTCCAACCTGGCCTTGACCACTTCCAGGCACAGGGCATCTGCAACTACTCTGGGCAGCCTGTGCCAGTGTCCAAGTGATGTTACCAAGGATTTCCCTCCCTGGAGCTACACCTGGTGGCATCTAACACATGACTCCCTTCTCCATCCCCTGTTTCCCTCTGCCACCACCCCGCCTGCTCTCCCCTGGACACAGCACCAACAGCCCAGAAAAGAGGTTGGAAAAGGGTCTGTTCACCGCTGCCTGGAGAGCTCTTCCACTTCCAGCTGGAGGCTGTTGATTTTGTCCCCAAACTCCTGCTTGAAGAGCCGGTTGTCCTGCAGGGCCAGCTGCCGGTCCTTCTCTGCCTGTCGCAATCTGGATTTGAGCCACATGAACTTGTGATAAAAAACAAAAGCCATGGTGGGGAGGAAGACTGAGTTTAACCAACAAATAAAAAACCCAGTGAAAAGGTAAAGCCAAAAAAAGAGAATGGTAAAAACAATGGAAAGGAAGAAAAAAAGTTCAAAGCAAAGCAAAATGTAGGTGAACCAGGCAGAAACTCTCTTTTTCAATAGTTTTTATTCTATCACTACAGTTTACAGCCATTAGATGAGAAACAGAAAACATCACTTTTATCCAGATTCGAAGCAAACCTCAAGTACACAGAATTTTAAGTCCAGTTGGAGTTTAATGTACGTTACATTTCAGCTTTGCACAGGCAACTGGAACTCGCAACATAGGTTGTAGCTACTCTATTGAGAATTAGTGCATGTTCCTGGTCTCTCCCGTGGATGGACACTTGGGCTTAAGCCCCAGGCATCAGTACACTGCCACACTCCCAACTCGGGGCCTGACATCAGAAGTAGCCAGATCTTTAAATCTGACTTATTTCAGCAGAGACCTCAGCATCCATCCCCTGTTCCTAGAGCAGAACTGTGCCATGGGGCAGGGGGTTCCCACACCTGGATCAAAGCTTCCACCTTTCCCTTAGGATTACTTTTCCTCCAGGGAGTTAGGATGAGTTTCTAGTCGCAGGTTACTGAGGGGTGAGTTTATAGGTTGAAGCATGCGGTTCAGGCGTGGCAGGGAGGTTCCCAGCAGGGCTGCCTGGAAGCCCCGGGAACAAGCCCCACAGTGGCCCACGCTCACATCCATGGGCACCAGGCTGAGCCCTGTGGATTTTTTAAAACACCGAGGTGCTCCCTTCCTGGCTTTGTCACATTTGTCACTCACCGCCCCAAGGAGCACCATCTCATAGGTCAAAGGAGAACTGGCACCAAAGAATTACTACAGGCATCTCACCAGAGCAAAAAAACCCATATTCAACACAGAGACTCCCCAAATCCAGCCTTACAAAAGAAAAAGATACCTCGAGGAGCACTTATAAACCTAAAGCCTGTGAGAGGCCAGCACAGGGATTTCATTGATCAGAGAATGTTAGTTTTTAATAGTTCAAGCTACAGTTACTTCAGATTTTGCACCAGGGTTTAAAACTGGCAATTATTTTTCCTATTAAGAGGCATTTCCAAGCTTTAGCTCTTGTTCCATTAGCAAATTCCATTTGTTTTGAGCACAGCAAACTCACAAGAAAATGCAAGAAGTGTAAAAGGCAACTCTTTCCAGCCACCAACTACTTGGACAAGTAAACGGCAAGGACCAAATTTCCATCTCCACTCCCCGCTGCTGCATACTGGGTTCCTTCTCCTTTTTTAATGTGTTTTCGCTTCCTTTAAACAAAGATCAGATTATTTTTATAGAACTGGTAACTTCCCTTTCTGGGAAGGGGAGAGACCTCCCAAAACACCTCTCCTCCACTTCCTTGGGTCAGGAAGGACCACAGGGTGCGTCTGGAGGGATTCCTGGCAGAGGTAGAAGCACTGCAAAGAGGAGGTTTCCACTGAACTTACCACTCTATCGTGTTACTCTAAGACACCTATAGCTACTAATTCTGGACACATGAAGTTTAAAGGAATAAGGATAAATTCCCCCCCTCCCCCCAAGTCCCTAAGGCAGAATCCAGGCAGGCTGGTTACGGGAGGGCCGGCGTTCCCGCAGCCGGGCCAGCATCATGCCCGCTGGGCTCGGACTCGGGGCTGAACCCACAGAACAGAAGAGAACGGGATACGGCTTGGGGCACGCACACAACTACTGTCAACAACTTCCAGGGATGCATTTCTCGTCTACTTCACAAAAGGGCAACACAGAGAAGGAGCTGACTGTCCCAAGCTGGCTGCTGTCCCGGCTGAGCCGCGCACGTGCCGAGGGCAGCGGCTGGGCGCAGCCACCTCGGCCACTCCTGACGCAGTCCCGGGGTGCTCGGTGGCCAGCTCGTTGGTACTGCAACAGGTTTAAATGGCAGGGCTGGGGATTGTTATACCAGACTAAATCTCGGCAGAAAAGCTCACTGATTTTAAAAACTCAGCAAATTCCAAATCAACTTTAGGTGACAATTAACATTTTAACAGTTGCTTTTAGCAATTCTCAAGTTCTCTCCTCATAAATAAGTTCTGATGTCAGAGCTGTGAGGTGGCCAGACATAAAAATGTCTAATGATGCTTCTGGATCAGTTTGTTTGCTGCACTATTTAAGGTTTTTGCCTGTTTCACCAAATCCTTTTCACTGTATAAGTAAGTCAGAATGAGGATGATGAGAAAACAGAAAAAATAAGAACAGCAAGAGAAAAAGAACACATGAATTAGCAGAGTAGGTATCATTTGAAACATTTTCAAACACAACCTTGCTCTAAAGAAAACCACCCTGCCTCCAGAAACCCTAAAATGAGAGCACCCAATGGAGTGCAATGCTCTCCTCATAAACCAAGTCCCAGAGGTGCTGCTCCCACTGCTCCCCTCAGGCAGCTCTGTCTAGCAGAGCATTGGGTCTCTCCCCTGGCCCATTCTGGATCCACAGGACACTACACTGAAGGACACACCAGTGGATCATGGTTCAAGTTTCCTGTCTTACCTTTGTTCCAGCTGTTTGATGGTGGCAGCCATTTGATTTGTTTTTTCTTCCAAGCGGCTGTTTAATTCACTCTTCTGTTTCACTCCCATGTCTGAACTCTGGGAAAAGCAGTAGTAGGGGTTTGTGTAAGGAGTAGTAAATCCCAGATAAAACCCCATAAATCATTTGGCACACTAAACAACAGGGCAAAAGGCAAAGAGGCAGGAAAAAGTGCTGAAAAAGCAAATGCCAGGTCAATATTGCAAGGACAAATGTCTTGCCGTAGAGGTGGCAGAATAATGCCACCATCCACAAAGCTTCCTGGATATGGAAAATGCATGATGCAGCACCTGCTAATACTCAGGATCTTAATATGATTCAGCTGCTTTGAACAAAGGCATTGGCTCATGGAGAGCAAAAGCAACTCTTTACTGCTGTCAAGTTGATTTTGGGATCTGTTCTGAGCACTGTGTTGCTGTTTGGAGTCTACTTGTGTCACCACACAGGAGTTACACCAGGGGCCCTCCACACCAGACTGCGCTGGAACACAAGCTCCCACAGCTCTTTTCGTACCACAAAACCACCCAAGATGCTTTCCCCATCTCTCACAAATTTCTGGACCATGATGGATTTTTGTTCAGAAGAAATTGCATTTGTCTTTACCCTCCACCACGTTCCAGTGTTCTCACAGCAGGACAGGAGTGCGCTGCACAGCCTGTGACCCTTCCACACCCAACACCTTTCCAACAGGCAGGAGGCATAAATGCACAGCAGTTCTCACTTTTGTCTGGAATTTGCTACATATCCTTAGCTCCCTACCTGCAACTTGAACGACAGTTCATGCTTTAGAGCCCTGAGATCGTCCAGCTGCTGCCTGAGTGCCACCAGTGCATCCTGCTTTTCACAGACATCCTTCTCCAGCATCTTCATGGCCAGCTCCATCTCCTGCCGCATCCCGATCTGCGCCTCCAGCTCCTTCTCCACATCCTGGAACACAAGGAGCCCCCAGCATTTCCAGGAGGTGCCCTCCTGACCCAGGGGTAACCACCCTTCCCTTCTGCCCACGCAGTCCCTACCCACGAGTGTGCTGCTGCCACAACTTCAGAGTCACACGTCTGACACCTGCCTTAAGGAGAGTAACTCCCCAGTTTCAGTCCAGTATCACAGCCAGGTGTGCAGCATGGCTAGCAGAGAGTCAGGGAATTCTGCATGGGTCTGTCTTTGGGATGAAGGGGTCTAAGGAAAGATTTTATTTCCTAAAGCAGATGTTATTTCCTTAATACCTTCAGGTCAGGCATTTTTCTCCCCACGCATGCATTGAACAAGAGCTCAGCGTGGCCGTGACCCTCTGCAGCCCTGTGGGGTGAACCCCGAGCCCCCCTTGTCCTCACCAGGCGCAGCTGAGTCTCCTCCTTCAGCTGCTTCCGTGCCTCAGTCAGTGCCTGCCCGTCAGCACTTCTGTCCTTGGTGGCCTGAGGTAACAGACACAGTTCACTTGGTATTGTGTACTGCCAGCCCTCACTTGACCTCATTACTGGCTTTTCCCCAACACTTGGAATTCTGCAACAACTCAGGACAAACCCGCACAACTCCTACTTCCTGATTTGCCTGTCCCCCCTCAAGTAAGTCCCCCTCCCTCCTGTCCCCTGACACATTGCCCAGCGAGCTGTAAGCTGTGGGAGTGCCTGGCTCCGTGCAGGCTCCCTGCTCCATCCCTACGGCCAGGCAGGATTCCCTGTGGCAGGGCCCATCTGTTCCCTCTGCACAGGGCCCACCTGCCATTCCTCTAATCCCCTGTGGGGTTTGTGTGAGACACACAAGGAAATGAACTCTGCTCCAGACAAGGCATTCAGGCTAGGCCTGCCCCAGGGCTCGGCAATCATACACACACACACCAACCTTACGGCTGGACTCCAGGATGTAGGAGCTTTCTTCCTTAACCCGCTCCATCTCCTCCTGCAGTGTAATGATCCTGTTGTTGGCAACTGCGAGCTGGGAACAAAACAACAGTAAGGCACTAAAAACATGCTTCACTTGTTTTTTCCTCTCTTGACCCCAGCAGATGAGGAAGATTTGGCTGGAAATAGAGGACGAGCAGCACACAGCACCCTTAGGGACAGGACACTTGGCCCAGAGGAATTCCCAGGGACAACAGCACTGCAGACAACAGATTATTGTAAGTATATGGTCAAAGGCAAAAGGAACTTCAGAAACTCCTGGCTTTGTAACTCCCAACTCAGGTAAGGCTCACACATGGGAGCAGCTCAGAGACATTCCAAGGGATCAGCCATGCTATCCTGTGACAAACCCAAACAGAACTCCCAGAGCTCAGACCCAACACGTGCATGGCTGTGACGTGTGATATGGTTCATCACCTGCCCCCCGCCTGGCACAACGCCTGCGCTGTCACCACAGCCTCACTCTGCACTTGTTGCAGGCTTCCCTTGGCAACTTCATTGCCAAACCCCAAAAACACTGCAGTCACCACTGCAATTCACCTCCTGGTACCACACCACTGTGCAGGTAATACACCAAAGCCACTCATTGCTTCAGGTAAGACCTCCTGCCACCCATCTGCCAGGGAACTGACCCCAAAATATTTTATGACACTTATGCTATCAGTAATGAGCAGCAGACCCATGTTAAAACAGACTGCGGTTTCTCATGCTCAGGGTGGACATCTCACTTATAATGACCTTTTTTTCCTTTACTTTTTGCAAATTTACATAAACATACAGTTGACTCTCCAGCTTGTGCTCAGTAGTGATGGCCAGTGAAATTCCTTGGCAGGTCAGCTATTTCAGTGCCATCATTTAACACCCCTCATTCTGTACATCTGAAAGGAACCTCTCCCTCCCTGGTTAATCCCTAACTCCCAAAAGCCAAAGCATCTGGTGGTTTTCCATGACACTTACCTCCTCGGTCAGCTTGGTGTTGGATTTCTCCAAGGCATCCACCTTGGCCTGCAGGTTGTTTACTGTAGCACTGTTGAAGAGAAAAAACCCTACAGTAATTCCTTCACTTTTTAAAATCCTGTTTTCTCTTTTGTTCTACGTGATAATAAAGAGCCAAGAGAACATGTGTTACCTTAGATGTCTATTGAGTTCTTCTACATAGTTCTTCTGGTCCAAAATAGCAGTTATCTGACCATCTCTGGAAAAAAAACCAGGACAGCCTGGAACACCTGAACACACATTCCCAAGAGGGGAGCAGCAAGACAACTGTGTGTGCACCTACCCTTCGCTGCCTTTTGTGCTGTTCCCGTCTTTCAAATACATGGAGAAATCGATAACTCCAACCTGGAGAAGGAAAATTTGCATTTTGCATTAAACACTTGGTTTCTAAGGCCAAGCCACTGTTGCCAGCTGTGGAAGTTTCGAGTTAGGACATCAGCACCTGCAGCACTTCAGCAAGGGTTCACTACATTGGTTAGCTATGCAAAATTAATGCATTTTTCCAGCTTAAATGAGCAGAACAAACCCATTAAGTGAACAACCAGTACCTGGGAATCCAGGTCCTCTCCCTTCATGCAGAAGTTGGCATCAATAACATTCAGACCTACGAGAAGGCCAGCAATGATGGCACCTTCCTCCTCCATCATCAGTGCATTGGGCTCGTAAAATTCACTGTGGGAAGAGATACAGAGCAGTGAGATGGGAAAGGTGATCAGGATCTTATGAGACAGCAGAAGTGAACCTAACTGAAAGAGTCCAGCACTCACCTGAGAAGATCCTTTCTGTTAATCAAGGCTTTCATGTACTCTGAAAGTTTCTTCTGCATCAGAGCCAGGCGAAGCCAAGCTCTTCCTCTGCCCACAGGTGTCCTACAAAGGCCAGAAACAAACATTTCCAGACACCCTGCAAGGCACAGTCACCAACAGCTCTAATAATCCCACCCTACCTCAAGCTTCTGCACTTCTAAGACAGAGCTGGCACTGGTGCAGAGAAACACGAGGTACGTAAGCACAAATAGGTGCAGACTGATTAAACCAACACTGTTTGTCTCTAAACTCATGATGTTTGTGTTGCCATACTAAAAAGATATCCCTGGCTTTATCCCTGCTGGATGCTGCCACACAGCTCATCACCTTCTGAGTCACAACCAATTCTGCCTAAGTCACAGGAATATGCACAAACCAGCACAGCTGCCCGACAGCACTCCTTGGGGTGGGACGGGCTGGATGGGAATCTGGCCAGACACTCAGAAACACTTGGCCCAGAGTTCTGTTTTCCTCAGGTGCTTTGCTCCTGAACTCCCTCACAGGATGCCACGGGCTCGAGTGCCAGTCCTTCCCCTCTAACACACTGACCTCACCTGGCACGAGCAGCAGCAGCCCAAGGAAGCCACGGCCAGGACTGCCCACTCCTGACTCACTAACAGGACCTGGCACTTCCAAAGGGTCACTCTGAACACAAGGTTTAGAAGCACACCCTAAAACTGTTCTTTACTTCCATTCATTTCCTATTACAACGCTCTGCAACAGGAAGAGGTACCAGGAGCTCTGGTACAGCACTGGTCCTGTCAGCTGCTGCAGGAGTCCTGCACACACCTCCAGGAAAAGCACTTGTCTGTGTGGACATGACTGAATACTAACCCAAAAGCAATTCATTGACTTTATCCACCTATCCTTTCAGCAAAGGTAACTCCATCCCTAGTCCTGATCCTCAGACAAAAAGCTTCCTTACACATTTTTTCTATTCCAAGCTAAAAGCTTCTTAGTTTCTCTTACCATTAAATAGGTTTCTCTTACCATTAAATGTGATGTCAAATTCCCACTAAACTTGTACAAGTAATATATGCTTCCTGTGGCTTTCTGCCTCCCTTCTTTAACTAAGACGACGATCTTGTCCAGCTTGGTGCCTAAGCTTTCCTCTCACAGACACTTTACCTGAAGTTATTTACAAGAAGAATTACCTACATCAGCCTCAAAACTACTTAAACTGTTATAACCTTCCTGTTCATTCCCTTCCTCTTGAGTCTGACTTCAGAAATGCTCAATAAAGACTGTTCCCATGCCTGAGGCACAAGCAGTAAACACACTGCTGCCCATAAGCTGCCACACGCCTTACAGAGCAAGAACATATTCTCTGCTCTCCTGCTGCAGATCCTTGATGAAGAGTAAGAGAGCAACGATCCATTTTTACCTGCAGAAGGTGACAGATGTATTCCTAAAGGTTCATCCTTCCTTCTCTTCTTCAGGATCCCTCTCACAATAAAACCCGTATTATGTACTCGTGCAACACAGGAGCGTACTTACTTCAGCCCCGGGAGATCCTTAACACTTGCTGTAATCTCTGCAGCCTCAGGAACAAGTTTTTCTACTAATTCTAGAGGTCCCCAAAATGACTTATTTTGCCCAAGAAAAGTCTTTTTGGCTAAAAAACAAAAAGAAATAAAAATGAGCCCATTAGACCTGTGCTGATACAACACATTCTCAAACAAGTGAACAAATTAGCCAAATCCTGCCAGAATGGTTCCTCTGGGACTGCTGCTGGGCAGGCACTTGGTATCCTGGAATGTCAGGATGGTTTGGGTGGGAAGAGCCCCAAAGACCACCCTCCTCTGCTTCCCATCTCCAGCGACTACCACGCAAGGGCAGCACCTAAAGGCCAGTCTGTACTTGGCCATTTGAGCTGTGACTCAGGATTTCACAGTCAAGCACATGCTCTGCTTTAAAAGCAGCTTCAAGCCATGAGCTGCACACAGCCCAAACCATGTGTTTAGACAGAGCTATTAAGAAAGGAGCTCCGGGGTTGCAGTTCCTCTTCCAGCAAAGGGATGCATTGCTAAAGCACAAGGAAGTGCAGAAAAAGGAGTCACGAGCTTGCCAAAAGCCAGCTGAATCCCTGTTCACTGAGTTATACCCAAGACAACTGAACTGCACCTGCAATGCCTCAGCTTCCCCATCCAGCAGGTTTTGTGCCTTGCTTTGCCTGCCCAGGGCTCTGCGGTGACAGCAGTGACCGTGCTCAGCCTCTCCTGGGTCCCATGCAGGCTGCAGAGATCTGTCAGTGCCCAGCCCGGGTTACCTTTGAGGCCGTGCTTGAGGCAGTGCTCCATCACCACGAAGAACTGCTGCAGGGGCGCGTAGTCCGAGTCCAGCGTGCGGCCCAGGTTCAGCGCCGACTCGATCAGCCCCTTGATGCTCAGCTTGGCCATGTTCATCAGGTTCATGCGCTCGTTAGCCATGAGGTAATTCGGGTCTGCAACAAAGGAGGGAAACTGCTGGTGAGCAACAAAAGCTGGGTTTACTACAGTAAACACCCCACCTTGCTCTTTTGTTTCCTCAGCTTTGAAGGCATTTTTGGGGCAGCGAGTTTCACAGGAGGCGCTCTGCAGGCCTTTTGTGGAGAAAAATCAGTGTCAACTAGCAGTTTAGGGCCAAAGCCACAGTGGCACGGGAATAGACAACATATCATACTGAGGGTGCCTTAATACCTCAAATAACTACAGGAGCTCCTTATTTTCAAGAAGGACATTTGGAGCCTGGTGTTCATCCTGTGCTTTGCACCTTGACAACGTGTCTCTGACCATCACTTGTCCCAGCTCACATTCCCAGCTACAAACTGGTAATAATCCTCCAGCTGTGGTTTGTTCTGGTTTCTTCTTCCATCTAAAGATTACCTTGGACCCCCTCACACTTAATCCAGCAATATGTGCCTCTATCCCAACTTGCATCTCTCTTCCTCAAGACTATTTTTTTAGGCTTAATATAATATGGAGCCAACTCCCGCTTCCCTCTCTTGATTTTAACACTGCCACTGGTTTTCACCAGTGAGGAGCTGATCTTCATGGCTCTTAACAGGTCATACTAAACCCCCAAACTCACAGATGTCCCAGGATTACATTCTTCCTCTTCCACATTATAAACATCCAGACCTTTAGGCCTGCTAGTCACATCCAAGTTTTGAGCTCCTGTTCTCGGGTGCCAGCAGTTTTGTTGCATTTTAGACTAATAAGAGTTTAGTAGAAGTAGTTTGGCTAAGGCTTAGAATTTCATAGTAGGCCATGGGCTGTGTGTTGTTAAGTAAAGGTAGTGTGGAATGCTGAGAAGGTAGAAACTTATCTCAGAATACATTCCAAGAATAGGCCATGGTAGAACACGTCATTATCTACAAGATGGATAGGTAGATCTTAGGGGAATACATTGTTCATACCTAACAGAGTGAAGAGAATTTATGACCATAAAGAATGTTCAATTTAAACAAGAATTAACTTGTAAATAAATTATTGTTAGGATGTAACGTAGACAAGTATGTGTTGAATCAAGCAACCGTTGATATAGACCCTATATAAACGCAACGAGTTTGTCAGCTTGGGGGGCTCTGACTTTGGACATTAGTCCTCAGGCTCCCAGGGCCCTCAATAAAGCACCGCATAAAACAACTTCGGTTGTTTTGTGTCTTCTTCACGGGCAACAGTTTCATCCCAGTAAATCCCCCATTTATCCAGTGCTGCTGCCAACAGCTAGGGACCCTTGAACCAAGCTGCCACCTCCACGAGTTAATTAACTACTCCTGGCAGAGACCTGACCTGAGGGTATCTCAGAGGCACCTTGTCAGCACCCACCAGCCAGAAAGAGAGCCAAGAGCCCAGCTAATACACCCAGAGCCGAGTGCATGTCACTGTGGGCTGGGAAAACCCAGCACAGGGAGACAAAGAGCTGGGGCAGCACCAGCATCCAAACCTGATAGCACAGCTCATTTGTTCAGTCCCTCCAAAGCAGCTCAGGACAGCACTTCTCTAATTCCCCTTCTTCTTCAGAGTGAAGCACCAGCATAAGTCTCCTCCTCTAAATTTATTTCCATAGTTTAGAGAACTTCCAAGTACTCATTTAGGAGTACAATGCTCAGAGCAGCACTGGACTGCAGAAAGACTGAACTTGGTGAGGTGTTTTTACTGCCTTTCAGGACTACTGCTGCCTGAGGGTGCTGGGTCTGGCTGCTTTGGAGGTACCCTGAGCACATGACCTGCTCTGGATTTCCAATCCCTTTGATGACCTACAGTGTAGCTAACAGTCACCATTACCAGGAATGGAGACTCAGAAAAAAATCAGGCACAGTACTGCCAACACAGAGCCCTCCTCCTCATCCTCCCTCACCACATTTCCTCACTGGCCAAGGCTGCTGATCTGATGAGTAGCAAGGCATCCACAGTGACTCTGCTTGGGTGGCAAACCCATCCTTAACACAGAATTAAAGGAACTGTACAAGAGAACACCAAAGAAAATGCTCATTTGGCCATGGTTATGGGCTAATTCCAATAGAAAAATATTTTCACCATATCACACTAATCCAAGGTTTCAACTTCCTTAGTCTGCTGTGAGCAACTGCGCTCTGCATGTGCAGTTTATCCAAGATTCTCACCTTGCAAACCAGTTAGCTTATATAGTGTGAAACTGGATAAAATCCAAAAGGTTTATTCCAAAAATTAAATGCTAACTAATTAGTACTCTTGCTCTATGACTGCACCACATACACCTTTAAAGAAGGCAGGGTAGGCAGGCAAGGCTGACTTTTACACAGCAAAACTGTCAGGCTGGCTTTAAGCTAGGACAAGTCTGATCCTGGTGTGCTCCATCTGAGCTGGTACCTTTTCCAACTTCCTTCTGCCTCTAACTGCAAAACCTTTGCCTGGGCTTCCTACACAGCCCACGTCATAAACCTTAAAAAGTAAATTCCCAGCCCTTGAACTTTGCCTTTGCACAAGGATTGGGTTTCAAATAAAGCAATGTCCTCTTAGGACATTTTGTTATTTAAATATTGCAGCTTCTACCGAACAGCCATATTTTCTAACCAGCTGCTTCCATGAAGATGTTTTCAAAAGCATTTGAGAATCTTGTAATTTGTTTAAATGTTACAATCTGTACCCAGGAATCTCAAAGTCAAGGAAGAGTCAATGCAATACAGGATCTCAAAGCGTTAAGCTGTGACTGGTCTTGGTACTCATTTGGTGACAATAAATTTTATCACTCCTCACACTTACTCTAAAACACGGAAGAAGTAACTAAAATGAAGCTAAAACTTGGATCAAAGGCAGGGAATGATGAGACACTGGAGAAGTGAACAGCCCCACTGGAAAGCAATGCCAATTCATTAGCATTGCATCATGGTTCTCCATCTTACATCAAGAACACCAACTTAAAGTAACCTGAAATTTAACACGACTGCTTCCTTGTGGCAGAGAAACACCTCTCGCCTGACAAAATAAATGCAAAACAACTTGTACAGTATTTTGTGAAAAAAAGAAGTCTCAAGCCCCTCTTTTTTCCTGAAAGCCTGCCTTGGAAAACGCCCTTCTCTGGGAAGCAGCACAGGCTGTTGTACCAGGAGAGAAGGACATTGCCTGTGGCTGAGGAGGCTGCGGGCAGCACCCGGGCACAGAACCAGCACAGCAGTTAAAGGCACCACAGTGGAAGATGAGCAGCAAGGACCATGCTCAGTGCATGAGAACATCAGCCTTTTGTGCTGCAAACATCTGAACCCCAAGCAGGAGCAGTTGTATTTCAACCAAGTACCAACTTGCTTGACTACTTGCTACATTGGGGATTCAACTATTTCACATCTCTGCAGTTTCTTAAAAACCAAGAAAGAAGTGCTACAAATAAGTTTGTCGTTCAGTACTTCACAAGTTCTAAAAAAATTCACAATGCAAGTTTGAAAATAATTTTTGCCAAGCATTGGCAAATGCTGCCAGAAAATCTGAAGAATCTAGACAGAAATACTGCAGAAAATCTAAAGCTTCAGAGTGATTTCTGAAATATTTTTTAAAATTCAGCTTCCATATGTTGCCACAACCTTTTAAGCTGTGCTTCTGCCTGACTCAGGAAACTGCTGCCTCTGAAAGCATTTAGGAGAAAGCTAATAGCCCTTGTTGATCTACTTCTTCTACCTCCACTTCAAGTCAAAACAGCAAAAAAGACCACAAACATTTATTTAAGCAACACCAAGAAAATGCAGGAAAGCCACGGCTACCGGCACTGGAAAGGGAAACTAACAGCATTTTGCACTCAGGCTCAAAATAATAGTGCAGAAGCCAACGATTAGCACAAACAAGAGCTGTGAGATGTGGGTGTGGAACGCACCTTCGGAATCATCGCGCAATTGCTCCACCACATCTGTCAAATCCTCCCAAGAGTCTTTGCAAACAGCAAAAGGAAAGGAAAAGAAAGAAAAACGTCATGCAAGGCGTGATCTAAAGGAAAGATTCAAAATCAAGGTGTAAGAAAAGCATAACTGAAAGGGAGATTTGCATCATACAAGACTTAATTCATAGTGGCAAGAGATCTGCAAGTCAAAAAGGTTCATTAGTCTGCACAAAGCAATAGAGCAAAGCATTTTTCTCCCAGAGTCAGACCAGGGCAGGCTTCAGAGAAGCTGCAGAAGTTTTGTTTCTGCATTAACACAAGCAACATTTTTATAAAGCACATCCTAAAAAGAAAAGCAACAAAAGCATTACTTGATAAATAAACTCGTGATATTTATGCAATGTCAGCTTTTGCTTCAATTTCCTCACATCCAGCCCCAAAAAGAGCTGCTGGCAGGGACACAGCCACACGTGGGAAGCAAGCACATTCAAGGAAAACACACACTGAGTGCATTTTAAAGGCTTGGCAGAGGTTAAACCCTCACCCCAAATGACAGATCCCACAGAGGTGACCCAGCTGAACCCTATACGGGTGCCAGGCTGGTGATGATCCCCTAAGGACTCAGTCAGGGGAGCACCTCTCTCCTTGGCGGGGCCAGGGAGATATCCTGGGAAGGGAGCAGGCAGGACAAGGAGAACTGGTTTCAGCACACCCACTAAACTCTTCCAAATACTAACACATTCCAAACCCAGCGAGCCGAGCCAGACAAACGCCCCGGACTCTGGGCATTTTTCGCTCCCTACTTACGCACATGTGCTCCCCAGCGCTAACCCGCCATCGGCAGAACGTCCAAAGCAGGGCAAAGGCTCGGTCCCCCTTCCCCAGCCAGCTGTGCCAACGATGTGAGCAAAGTCCAGAGCTGCGGGCCCTCCTCCCTCCCACTCCCGCCTCCTGCCCCGGAGCCGAAATCCCTACCTGCACACACCACCACTGCAAGGTCTTTTATCTAATACTGACAGGTTGGATTTTTTTCTTAACCCAAAGCATAAACAGGGAAGTACAACCAAAACAAGATTTACCAGTACCTGGGTAACAGGGACAGAGACAACTGACAGGCTTCATTTCATCTTTCTCGTTTATTTTTAACCCTTAGCAAGTAACTCACATAAAGCTCCCAGAGAAATATCCAGAAGAGTTATAAATATTTTCTTCTCTTCTATCCCTACAAGCCATAATCCCATCTTCCTACTAGCAGGAACTGCATGAATTTAAACTGATACTATGGCATTTGCATAGGTTTAGAGGCAAAAGCACACAATTAGCATTTTCTTACCTATTTTCATTCATTCTCCATGCATCCACATGCACTTTGCATAGAGTTCATTTCTTCTTTTACCTTGTACATTTTCCCACTTGTCTGGAAATTCCACCAAGCAACAGTCTTCCCACAGGAGAATTAAAAAGATCTGAAACTCTATAGTTTCCATGGTTCATACAGGGTGTGAAAAACTCAATACTTTTGATTATGATAGAAAGTATTTAACTCGCTATGTAAGAAGTTTAGAAAACAGGATGACCAAGGCTTTTAAGTCTCCATACCACAAGTAACCCATTCCAACCAGATTCCCAGGAAGATTAGTATTATGGAACTGAATATCCCACTGGAATGAACACTCAAGCCAGTTCTTCAGGAAGGGACTGGAGAACTTGTCTCTAATATATTAATCAAGAAAATCTCATCTGTTATTTGGACAACAGAGGGGTTTGCAGCCACTCTCTTGGCTGACACAGCAGCAGCATCTCACTGAAGGAGCGGGGATACCTTCCCAAGCCAAAGAAAGCTTCTACAAGTAAACCCTGGGAGAATGGAATAGCATGAAAATTATTTATTATTTCACACTGGTGTTCAACATTTACTTTGTTCTTAAAGGTTGAAGTTATTAAGCTAAAATAGCACTGGGAGTCTAACCCTTTCTGAACCAATGAACTTCATCTCACACACAGCATGTGGATAGGAAGTTCCTCCAAAGACAGATGAAATGCAATCACAGAATCACAGACTGCCTTGGGTTGGAAGGGACTTTGAAGTTCATCCCATTCAACCCCTGCTTCTGTCCCCTGCATGGGCAGGGACATCTTCCCCTATCCCAGGTTGCTCTAAGCCCCAACCTGGCCTTGGACACTTCCTGGGATGGGGCAGCCACAGCTTCTCTGGGAAACCTGTGCCAGGGCCTCACCACCCTCACAGGGAACAGTTTGTTCCATCCTTTGTTCCAAAGGTCATAAGTATTTAAACAGGTCAGGACTTCTAAAATTATTTTTAAGTACAGAAATTTTAAACAAATTCTTAAGGAAAGGCTCAGCCATCAGTAAAATAACCTAAAAATCCCCAAGGCATAAGTTTTAGGAAATGAAAACTGAGCTTGATACAGAAAGTCCAAAGTGATGCTGCCAGGTCAGCCCTGCTGCTGGGAAAGGCTTGGCCCAAATCTGGACAAATATTCCTTTATTACAAAAAGGGAACCTCTGGTAGCATTACTACATTTAAACTGCATTCTGCTTATTCCTTACCTTAGAAATACATTTAATGGCAAAAAAAGAGGCCAAGGAAAAAAATTAGGTAGATGCTGTTCATGTTATGAGAGGTACATAACTAACTCTTTCAGGTAAGGTTTGCCAACATGCTGGATCACTAACTGTTAACAAAGAAAAGGGATCAGCAAAGGCTTTCAGCACCGTGTTCAAACACCCTGCAAGCCCAAAATCAGGGAAGCCACCAGGCAGTCTGCAGCCTGGAATGCCAGGAACCATCTACTCAGAACAAAAAGCCATTTACTTTAAACCCCACTGCATAAAAATTCCATCTCTAAATATATAAATAAACAGCGAGCCTTGCATACAGAAGAAAAGAGCAGTCAAAGATCTGTAACAAACCAGAAGGAAATGAAGCACAGACAACGTGGAAATTCCCAGCCCACTCTCCTTTACAGCTATGGGACAAATAAACAGCCAGAGTACATCACATGAAGTCACAGTTTAATCCCACCCTAAATCTTACTCCCATCTCCACGATTACCAAATAATTACCCGATTTCTCTATGTTGCCACTGTGTGCAGCTATATGGAATGTTTCTGCACAACCAGCCTGTTTTCAGAGGGAACCACATGACTAACTGCTATGGGAAACTTCTCATCCTATTTTAATCCTTGACAGTTTACACCAAGAAACTAAAAACCCAAACCCTTGGGTTTTTTTCCCCATCTTTCACTTCCCAGTTCAGTTTACACCCAGGTGGTTTCTCTGCAGCATTTGTGACTTGCCACCTCTGAGGGATATAAACCTGCCCCAAACTCCCCAGTTCTGACTTCATTTAGACTGACACAGCTTAAAAGAGCAAAGAAAACAACACTTTAGAGTAAGTTCTGCATTGAAGTCTGGATTACATGACCTAACTGCTATTCCCAAGATTTATGACCACAAACACACTGTAATTCATTTAACTTGCATTTACTGACTTGACATTTCTTCTATAAATCAGGTGTCCAGCTTCTTCAAATTTCTCATCTGTTTAGGGGTTTCTATCATCAGATGTGTTTTAAGTGTTTTTTTCCAAATACAGAGTCATCTCACGTAGGTTTTTGTCCACACCTGAAAGGTACTTGCCACTCCCAGTGCAATTCAGATTTGTTTTCTAATGGGAAAGGCCCAAAGCACTGAGAAATTCCACCTCAGCCACAACTCTACTATTCCTATTGCACACTACTAGAGAAACCCTAAACCCAAGTTAATTGTTGCCAGTTTGCAAAACAAAAGCATAACCATTAAGGTCAGCTGCTCCCCTAAATCATTTTGAGGTAGAAAAAAACCACGTGGACAGAAAATGGAGAAAAAAGGTCAAACCTGACTGATGATTCAATAATCAGTGCAACAGATTAATGGCCAGGAGGTTTTAAGGAGAACATTTGCTTTTCCTGAAGAGCTCCACAACTCCTTGTCATGGCATTGTTCCTGATACAAGCACATGTCAGGGACTAAAACTTTTAAATTAAGTCAAAAAAGAAGAAAAAATCTGACCTTAGCTTCTGCCCTTTAGAAAAAATAATTTCATTTTTTGCATATTATAAATTCTAATTCAAATTGCAGCTCTTAATGCAAATAGAATAGGACTATTAAAGAGAGGAATACTGTAATTCTTGAAAGTTCTCTTAAGTTAGCACATGTATTCCTTCTGGACACTATTACAAGGTGATCCCATGAGGACAAAAATTTCCACGGCTCTATTGTGAAGCTCCACATGATTATTCAAGATAGAAATTTAACATCCAGTAAACAGCCTAAAAAAAAGTCTGTTTTGTGTAACTCCTCCCCAAAGCTGAGAGCAGTGTTCAAAGCCATCCATACACACATTCCGTTCAACATTCAACAGAAATACAATCCAGGTGGTTTTTACCTCCATCCCTAAAGTTGCCTCCAAGACCATCACACGCAGGGCAAGCAAACAAGGTTAACCACCACCAAAGTCATTTAATTTTGAGAGGCCTGCAAAAGCCAGTCAGGTTCTGAGAGTCTTATTAGCATCACAGTCTGTTTAAAAAAAATTAGTTCTTTCCCTATTCCAAGCAGATTTACAGTAAGCAGCAGAATCTGCTTACTTTCACATGCAGAGTTGCTTCAATCAACTGAAAAAGTGTATTAATTGCTTGCACTGTTAAATGGAGTGGCCATGCTACAGGTTATATGGAATATACACACTTGCAAGCAACTCAGTACCTGCTGCTTGCTTTTAATTTGAAGAAAAGTTTTGCTTCTCTGTTCTCAAGCTCTGTGCAGGACTGGAATTGCTGTGACTGGCTCTGAAGGCAGGATGGCTGCTCGAGGGCTGGGGGCACAGCAGATCACAGGGTGAAGAGAGGCCAGGGACAAAACTCTCCAGAAGCAGCAAAAGCTGAGGGACAGCAAATGGAAGGCTTCAAATCTAATCCAACAAGCTCCTGGATTTGGTATTTACTGCAACATGTATTTTACATGTCTTGATTTCTAAGGGAAAAAC